CTGAAGTTAATCAACCCCGAAGTTTATTCCACTGGTTTTAAATGTACCATTAGGCATGCAAGAGCCTCAGCATCCATTTATAAATTTTAAGTTGTCTGGGACTCTCTCAATAATGTTGAACCTAAATAGAAGCAAGTCCTCAATGGGGTATGGGATCATGGTAGCAGTGTAAGTATCCCAAAGTAAAGGCAACTCAATAAAGATTAAGGGGAAAAAAGCAAGGAACAAGCCTGCACATGTCCCTCACTGGCAAACATGCAATCATTAGTTTTCACTGTTAACTCTGTTCGCATATGTCCACCTAACCTACCTTTCAGGTTGACCAGAGACAGCCATGGCTTCTCTTCTTTTGATCTCTTTTTTTGTCTCTTTGCAAAATAATTCAATTTTACCTTTATCCTTACTGTGAGACCAAAATGAGCCATCTTAGAAATAAGACCAAAATGCTTTCACCCTAAAATTAAGGCCTAAGATTTCTCCTTTTGGGAATAGGCCATTAGTTACTGAAACCAGTCAGTTCAGATTCCAGAAACCAGGAAGTGTAAAAGTACAGAGTCACAAGATAGTCACGAGGTAATGCCTGCCAGACTATGGAATGTCCTCTCCCTGGTTTCCAGGGTAACTGACCACAGAAATGCCCCCTTAGAAGTAATTTCTAGAAGTCCCTAGAAGCGAGCCAATCAGAATTGTACCTGTACTAGCACCCCTAAATGATGTAACCTTGTGACTTTTCCCTTTAAAAACTGAGCATGCAGACAGGTGGGAGCTTCCTCCAGCCTCCACTGCGTTGGATGTATTGGACGAAGTCCCTGCCTAGGCTTGTATTGCTTTTGGATATCCAGAATTAAACCTTGCTTTTGCATTCCGGCATGCTCGTCTTTGGTGGTCTCTCTGGGGGTCACGATCTGGGCACAACACTTACATTTAAGTTGAACATATTATTATTTTAAAAAAAAAATGGGTCGGTTTCAAGCTGGGGGATTGCTCTAGGGATAAAGTTGAGGGCTGGAGTTTGGATCTCCAGAACTCTGTAGAAAGCCAGGCTAATTGTAATCTCAGCACTCAGGAGAAGGGGACGGGAATCCTTTCAGCAAATTAGCTAGCCAGACTAGCTCAACCAGCAAGCTGGAAGCTCAGTGAGAGACCTTGCCTTTGGACATAAGGGGAAGAGCCATGTGTTAGGACACATATCAATACATACCTATACACACAGATACATCCACACACACATACATGAACCCACATACATATGTACATCACACACACATACATGAACCCACATACATATCACACACACACACACACACACACACACACACACACACACACACACACACTGTGGCATCTTTGAAAAGACGAGAACATGATTAAAGTCAAAATCAAAACCCATTCTCAACTTACTGTATATTTTCCTGATTCAACTCAGCTAACTTGTGAGCTAGGTTTGGGTATTTATATTTGTTGTGCCCAGATCGTGACCCCCAGAGAGACCACCAAAGACGAGCATGCCGGAATGCAAAAGCAAGGTTTAATTCTGGATATCCAAAAGCAATACAAGCCTAGGCAGGGACTTCGTCCAA